ACAGTTTGAGGCTGGCAATGTCTCTCAACTATCGAATTTTGGTAGTGGAAGGAGATTCAAAAGTGGTGGTGAGCTGGCTTGAAAATGACGGTCTGGTCCCATGGTAGTACAGAAACATTATGAGGGTGATAAMATCAGATTATCAGAGTGATGAATAGGTATAAAGTTATCAATCCACAGATAAGCCAATTATTTGGCAGATGAAATTGCAAAACAAGGGATCAACAGGGGACATCTCTTTTGGGGGCTGCTGTGAAACATGTAATGTAAAAGGAGCCGGAGCCATGTAGTTAAAACTTGAAAGGAAGTTAGGGTGACTTGGCAGAAGCCAACCTAAGGAGGGGTTTACCTGGCATCATTGTATATATAATTCATTCTTTATTCCTTTCAATAAACCATCTCTTACAAATCAAAGGGAAAAAAAGGGTTAAAGAAGAAATCTCTCTAGGATGTTTTCACTTAATACTGAACTTTCAAAGCCAAGAAGGGTTAAATAATTCAAATCACGTTAACTATAGATAATGTGCACCATGGAAGGATAGCCCACCTGAACCTGCTGGAAMACATAACACTAYACGAGTAGTTTTTAATCACATCTGCAAGGATAATCTTGTTAAAAACCATTAATTCATCACGTTAACTATAGACAAGGGTAGCTTTTCGGTTTTAATAGCAATTAAAATTACATACTTCATATAATAACTAAAATAAGACAACTTTTTTTAACAAATATAAAAAAAAGAGCAGCTGTATACGAAAGGGGAACACCGTATGAGATACAATTCGTATATCCATTTCTTAGGACAAAATTGCCCCTTTATTAAGTTTAACAAAATCTACCCATGCTCTCTCTCTTGCGAATGTTTTCTTCTCTCTCCCTCTCTCGAGTTTCCATTTCTTCTCTATTCTCTAATCACTCAAATCTCCCAGCATCTCTCCTTCTCTTGAGTCTCCAATCTTTTTCTCCTTCTCTATAATCACTTGAGTCTCCCTGCGTCGTTCTCAGTTCGTTGGAATGAAGCTCTACGTCTCTCTGCGTCTTCTAGTTCTTACTCACTTGTTCGAGTGAAGGTCTGCACATTTTGGTTCTCCCTTTTATCAGTTTCTTTCTTTGCCTCTTTTCGCTACTTTTCTAGGTTTCTTTGCCTTGCTTTCAACTGCTGGGGTTTTTCCATTTCAATGTATTCAGTAATAATGGTTAAGATAATCGTGACCAAGTCTACGAATTGTCTCCATTCCAGACTCAAGAAGTTGTTTGTTCCTTTCTTTTTTTCCCATCTCTAGGGAGATTGAAAACTCTACGAAATATAATGATATTTCACTGCCTTATTCTTTTATTCGAATCTCCATTATTTAGTTTCAAATGGGTTTACTTTTGAAATTACTATACATATAATACTACGTAAATATATATATACACAATCGATGAGATCATTCTATTCCCTTTTCTTAATTAGGTTTTATGTCAACTGGGTTTTCTTTAGATTAAACTCTCTCCTTTCCTTCTCCTTTCTAACTTGAAAGTTACACAGTGATTCTTATAAGACTAAAACAAGATGGCAAATATTTAGGAAAAAGAAAAAAAGAGATTCACAAGATATAAGTCCTCTCTTCTAAAGTTCGACTCCAAGCGCTTTATCATTAGAATTACTTATAATGGTAGCTTTACAGCTTTACACATTAGTTTGGTTAAGTTTGCTACATCTGAATCAACTAGCACTTTTCAAATGTTTATAATAATGGTGATAATAATTCTTACAGAGTGTTGCGTAGAGGTACAACCGAGTACTAAGAAATAGCACTTTTAGACACAAAGCACTTTAGGAAGGTAACTATGTTTTTCTTCTCTCCTTCAATCTAGTCATTAGTGTCAAGGTATGCAACATATGGATTATTAACCCAAACGAGTCGAGAGAAATTTTCATCACTTGTCCCTAGATCTTATGGATAGTGCTGAGGACCTTTCTCGGTTTCTGAAAATAAAGAAAATTTACGGAACCCATATGAGGCCATGTTAGAATAATTTTTCATCAATCTGGCCAACGATGTCTAAGTTTACACCACTGATAACTCTGTATTTTGATGCCTTAAGGGCATCATTTTAGGGGTATTTTAGACCTTAGACTAGCTAATTTGTACCCTTTTTAGTGGTTAAATTTAATATTGTGACCTCTGAGGATCCCTATGCAAATTCTGGTAAAAAATTGGGAAAATTACAAAGTTTCCTATAGATTTTGGGAAGCTGGTGCGAATTTCAGCTAAGAGAGAGTGCTTCTTTGAAAAATTGAGCACAGGAGGGTGCCTCTTATATGCTAAACCCAGATAGGCGCCTTTCCTGTGAAATAACTCTCTCTTTTAAGCCCTAGGCGCATCTCCCTCATCTCTTTATCTCCTAGCCGCCCCCAGCTCTGCAAATCCCCACCTTTCACTACAACCTCTCTCTAATCTCGACCATCCAAGCCTTAGCAGCCCCTTATACCCGTAGATCTCTTCCTATATAGCATCCTAGCCTTACACCTCACTCCTTAAACCTCAACCAATCACCTTAGGGTGCCACATCACACCAACCAATCACATTTCTCCAGTTCTAGGCGCCCAAATCTCAGCCCTACAGATATTTGGGCACCCTCTCATTCTCTTCCCAGCCTTAGGATCTCCTTAGAAGAATCCTAACCCTCCATTCTCAACCCTAGGGCACCCATGTTTCTGCAAAAACCTAGTTGCCGCCCCTTTCTTTCTCTCTAATCCCAAACTATCATTCCTTCTCTATAAAAGGGACCCAAAGGGTCCTGAGAAAGGGTTGGATTCTGCCCTCAAGTAAGACAGAAGGTTGTTCTTGAGAAGTTCAAGGTTAGAGGAAGAGGAGAACGCCCAGGCAAGAGGAGGGGCTCCTGCTTGTAGTTCGCCTAGCCTCTACCACCACCTCTGGATCCAGATCCCAACCAGTTTCCCATAGTTTTAGATTTACTTTTTACGCGTTCTTTTATTTTACGTTATTTAATTTCCAGTTTTTATTTTGTTTCTGCAATTTATTTTTATCAAATTTAATTTTTGTCTTCATTTTCGCAAATCTAAAATTCGGCCAGGTAAGACGGAAATCCCAACTCGAGGAGTTCGAGGGTCAAAGGATAGATCTAGAGAGTGGTACCTCTCTAAGTATTGGGGAAAAAAATTGTCACCTTGGCCATCAGTGCCAAGGTATCACTACAAGAAAAATGACTTTTAGCGGCAGCCACTAAAAGTCTTAAAAACTGCCGCTGAATGTTTTACTGGCAGTCAGCAAACTACTGCTAAAACAATTGTCGCTAAAAGTTCTAGCAGCAGTTTTCCCGACTGCTGATAAAGCTTAAAAACTGTTGCAAGTTATAGTTTTAGCAGCAGTCATGACTGCCGCTATAGAGATGCACCGACTGCCGCTAAAACTATTATTTATATTTTTTTTCACACCTGCCCAAATAACCTGAAATTCGTTCAAAATAACCTGTAATTAATTTTAATTAATAAACAAGATTTTAATTTGCTTCAAATAACCCATTTTATATTCAATCATCCAAATTGAAATGAAATACAAAAAAAAACAAAAATACAAATTCCATTAATTCATCCATTCATTCTAAAAAATACAAGTTTCGTCCATTTATTCTTAAAAATATCAAGCTCCATTCAAAAGACTTCTTTACAAAAACTTCTTCGGCTTTTCCCAAAAACTTCTTTACAAAAATACAAGCATGGGTGGTGGCATAGTATGTGTATGGATGGCTCTGAAAATGCTATTGATTGAAATTGCATATTTGACTGGATCCTCAGTATCGTCTTCAGATGTGCTTGTGGTAGACATGATTGTGGCTGAAGGTAGAGTTTCAGCACAGCATCTGCTAAATCAGAGATGAAGGAAGAAGTACAACCCAGAGCAGGGACTCAACCCCAATTTTCAATGCCAGATTCAAGAGCCAAGTGCTTGTGCTTGTACTCCATATCAATCTCTTCCAGAGTTTCTATATGCTCGCTTACAAAACTGAATACCAAAATAGGCAGTCCAAATGTTAAAAGAGAGCAGACTATAATCTTCACTTGAAAGCTAAAAATCAAGAACTGAGACCTTTTGGCTATATGCCTTCTATCCAGATTTCAATTTTATCAACAATTTGTACTATACTAAGAAGCCTACCATCTTAAATACCAGAATTAATTTCAACAGGATATGAAATTACATAAACCTACCATCTTAAAACTGGTGACTTACAGAATTTAGAGCAGTTCTTTATGACAGAATGACAAAAAAATCATACCTTACAGGGACAGCCAGGAGACTTTTTACACCTTTCTGACCAAGATCAACAATAACTTCATCGGTATAGGGCTTCAACCACAGTACAGGTCCAACTCGGCTCTGGCAATATAGAAGTGGAGAGTTATGTCATCTTAAAAACAATTTGGTATCAGATCTTAGAAAAAAGAAAAAGCAGAAACAAACAAGGAGTATTTAGATCAGGTTCACTGTTAGACAGCATTTAGAAAAGGGTACAAACCCTGCAAATTATGTTTAAATGGTAAGAAGATAGATCTTAAACCCACCTGATAAGCAAGAGTATGATCATTATTAGTTCCCCTATATTTCAACTCTTGCATGATCAAGCTAATGCACTCCCCCATCTGATCTCTGTATGGATCTCCTGCCTCTTCAACATAGCTAGCCGGCACCCCATGTGCACTGAAGAATATCATCACCTATCATTTTACTACAGAATGTGAGAAACTCATTCACAGGAAAGGAAAAAAGAGGCAACCAACAAAAAGAAATAACAATTGCAATGGCCACTGATATACGCAATTTTCTTCAGGCTTGGAGAAACTCTGCAGTTCCTTCTCTATTAAGTTAGCCATTGACTTGATATAACCTTCTCGTTGATACCATGACTTTATAATAGAGACTGGGAGCGCTGAAAAATTTCCCAATTTGAGTTGAGTCAACCAAGGTGAACCAGAATATAAATATCCCATTAAAATCTCTAAAAAAAGGAAGTTTTAAGACTGAAACAGGTATGCAAGTTTTCTACCTGAAGATACTTTGGAGAAGGTGAATGCTTGACCCACTTGTAGAAATGGAGAACTGAGGATAAAGTGGCAACACAACAAGCCTTGTAATTCTGTCCTTGATCTGTCAACAGAAGTGCAAATATGCCTATTAATGATGATTAAGCTAATTTTTAGGTGTAAATAAATTATTCAATTGAAGAATGACTCAATGTAGGACCAAAGACACCATAGATGCATAAAAAAACAAGTGAAATTAGAGCCACTTTGTAGTAACACAAATACAGTAAAAATCTATAGGTAGAATGAGTCAATCCAGTAGGAATAACTTATATATCAATCAAATTTAAAAAAAAAAAAAAGAATGGCAAGACAGTTGCTATATAAATAAAGATCATTGAAATGCAACCACAAGTACATGAAATAGCTGAAAACAACTTAAAAGATATTATTTCTAGCATTAATGCAAAATGTGTCTACAAACAAGAATTTTAAAGCCCTTTTAACAGCCCAGGATATCTGCATTGTCAAAAAGGAAAAGATTCAGTCCAAGAATTATTCACAACAAAAACAACACTCATGCAGAATTGCATAGAAAAACCATAGTTCCCCAGCCAATCAATTCTTCTACTGCATGTGGAACAAGCTATCTAACCTAGGCATTTTATTTTGTATGCACAAGTAGCATCACACCCCCACCCACCCTAGAAAATATTATCTTTGTTATCCAAAATGCTAGGATCTAGACTACCAGTCAAGTCTTTATTAGACCCAGGACATGCCGTCCTTAAATAATTTCCTTGTGAATACATGCATACTGAATGCCTACCAACAGTCTTGTACAGATGGGTGTGCTCCAGCCATTAGTTCTGTTTAAACAATTTTAAATCCATACAGTGTACACCTATAAAAAGAATGAAAAGACCAGTTCAAAAACTACTATAGGTCTCATGCAAGACAGACCAATCTCCACACAGTGTCCAACCCGAAGAGGTCAATCAAAGTCTTACTAGCTAACAAGTTTACCTACATTGTTTTTGGCTACCTGGCAACAAAGTTTATGAGAGAAATAAATACTAGTGGGAGCCCCTCTCAAACAGACCAAGACCCACCACACAGACCACTAGAACAACAACAGGACTGAAGAACCTGCAAACGAACCAAATACATGGTAAGAAACAATACAAGTTCTAATTTCAGGTCATGACCTTAGTCAGAAGAAGACAACATTTTTATCTTCATCATCAAGATCAAAATTCTATACCTTGTGAAATTTCCCCATGCCTTACAATACCCAGTCAAGATGTTTGAAAAATGAAGAGATTATCAGAGATCCTTGAATAGTTTTCATGGTATGGGTGAATCTCTGCATGCATCATAAGAATGCATAAGTAAAATTTCTTTCTAGTTGTTCCAAGCAAAGGCATCAGTGAAATATGAGAACTATGAATCATAGCCCCTTATCTGTGGCCATACTCATAACTTTGCAAGTTAATGTCTTACACAAATTGAAGCAGAAAATTGCCTTGGTAGAGTAGAACAGAATTCAGTGCATACGGTTTTAAGAGTCGCATGCAATCAAACGTGTAGGAGATAGAATTGAAGGTCAAGGTAGTACTTTCATCATCTTTAATAGAATTTCTGTTATCTATTCTCCAAAAAAAAAAAAAGAATTGAAGGTCAAGGTAGCTCATGGTAGTGCCACAGTGGCACATTACAAATCTTGTAGCTTGTATATGTCTGTATGCTTTACCTATGAAACAGGGTATGGACTAGGGGGGAGGGTTTCTTCTTGCCCACCCATCTTGTAGATTGTGTATCAATCAGCACAAGACAATGTTGGACTATCTTTTTTCATGTGAGATCAGGAATTCAGGATTTTGGCATGTTATTAGGATCCCAGACATACCTACCTCCTAATGGCTAGCGTCTGCATCATCACATGTAATAGCCACATAAAATAATTTTTTATCTTTGCCATAAAGCATAAGTCTGCATTATTAGTGGAGTTATATGGAAGTGTGAAGTTATATGGAAGTACCTGACTCTTTGGGTCCAGGTGAACTCAAAGCATGCTGAGTAGCCTGTGGATGAATTAAATTTGCCTGTTGCAAAGAAGTTGATGTAACGGAATTTAGACCTACTCCCTGAACCCCAAGACCTAGTCCAACTTGAGGTGACAATGATGATTTTTGTGAATTAAACTGCATAGACCATGAATTTTCAGATCAGGAAAAGAAAATAATATAAAAATCAAATGGAACATGAAAAATAATTACTTGACTTTGAGAATGTACCATTTAGGTTTTATTAGTATTTATTTACACATATTTGCTTGCATTAGTAATGAGTGAGCTGGCTAAACATAAGCCCAATCAAGTCAACCTGAGCTAATTTTCCTTTGTATTATGTATGTGTTTTAGATGCCTCAAGTGGTTGTTAGGAGTGTTTTTTTTTTTTTTTTTAAACGAATTCAATTTAAATTTGCCTTCAGGGAGATTCCTGAAGGTTGTTATGAGATTCATTGGTTTTTTTATAAGCATATCCTTGGAAAGTCATCAAACCATCTTAGTTTACTTTCTCTCATTTCATCACCTATTGGAGTTACTCCTAGGTTCCTTGAAATGATTTCATTTCTGACCATATCCTTTCTAGTTTTTCTACTCATCCATTTCAGCATACGAATTCCTTTTTGAGTTTATTGGAGGCTTTGTTATTTCTTCTCTTGGGTGATTTCTAGTCACTTCTCTAAGTTTCTTTTTCCTTCTGTAAAGTTTTTTTTTTATTTAATCTTCAAAAAACTTATCAAAAAGTATTGGAGACCATGCCTTCAGTATTGAGTTTATTGGACGCACGGTCTCTTGGGTGACCATGCCTTCCGTAAAATGTCAACTCATCAGCATCATCATATTTTTTTTGGGTAATATCATGTCAACTCATCAGCATCATCATAATAGCAATGATTGCCCATATTCTAACAACTCAGCAGCATAGTATAAAAGATTCAATAGAAGCATTCAGTTTAAAATTTTCAGTCTTCTACTCTAGTATGCTTCTCAATAAACACTACTGTATTTAAATTTTCCTTCAAACTTGCTAATGACTAAGTTGCCCTTCTACTCTAGTATGTAATGCAGAAGCAGACTGTTCATTTCCCTCTTTTAATAACAGATAACTTTATGAACAGAGAATAAATAAAGTTATAATGTCATATAGATAAAAGGGTCAAGGTTCCCAAGGACAAAGGAGAAGCTATGCAAACCAAATGAAGATGGAAACCTTGAGCATTCAAAACGTTAATACACACACATATAATGGCAAAGAGAAGTCCTACTAAGATTTGAATAAATTAGGAAGAAATATGACTAAAAGATAAAATTTAAGCTATGAGACATCACTAATAGAGTGCAGGAAAAATTGCCAGAGCAAATACAAGTGATAGTTCCCCATTTTATAATTGATAGAGAGTGCACAAAGGTTTGGCAAATCCATTTTTGATTTATTATGAAACAGACAAAAAAACTGGGTTGGAGTCTTGGACATTTGTCCAAGTAGCTACCCGAACAAAAAAAACTTACTTTTGAAGGGGCCATAATTTTCCAAACTGCCCTGTGAGCTACTTCCACCTAGTTGACCATTACAAAACAAATGAACTGAAAATGAGCCTGACTGTGCCAACCTCAGATTCTGGAATCTTCCTCCTGAGGATTATACATAGCTAGCCTTCCAACAAGGCCAAAAACTGGGTCATCTAATCCAGTTCCCAACCATTGAAATTAAATACCAACAGAATGTCGGATTCCACACTATTCTGCCCCTGTCTAGGCTTTAAGACTCCACTACTGGGGCCTCTTGTTGCTAGTCAACAATAATAGAAAGGGAAACAAATCCTTAAATCTGATGCCTATCAGCAAACCAGGCTTCATTCCAAAAGATAAAATTGTCACCCTTTCCAACCTTAAATCTGATGCCTCTCAATAATTGAGGGAGGCAGTTGCAAATGCCTTTCCATGGACACTGAGGAGGTTTGAGAAACCCCCGCAGCCCACTCATTTCTGCTCAAGCCGTACTTTTCCATAATGAGCTTCCACCACAAACTATCAGGTTCAGAACTAATACACCAAAACTAGTGACCCAGCAAGGCAATATTGAAGAGTTTCACACTTCTAATACCCAGACATAGGACACCATCTTCTAAGGGTCAGCAATCCTTGCACCCCAGTTCCTCAGCTAACTCCTCTGTATTAAACACTTGGCCAATGGGAAGCATCTCACTCTTGACTAAGCTGACTTTCAAACCTAATACCACCTCAAACCAGTACAAGAGGAAAAAAGCAATTACGTAATACATTTCCTTTACAATTTACTTATTACTTTACATCTTTGGCTGCAAATTCTTGTTGATCTACCAGTGGATTTGGGGATTGAACAGCTTCCTCCATTCCGTGGATATTTCAGATTTGACACATGAGGGATGCATAAAAAATAATGAATAAATGTCAACAGACGTTGCTTATTTGGAATCTGGTCCTAATCCTCTTTTCAAGGGTTTGATTTAATGGAGATTCAACGAACTTAATAACTTGTATATATAACACATACCATACTTCGAACCCTTGTTTAAAACAAAACCGCTTCACATGATACTGATGTTGCAAAGTATCAAAATGATTCAGCCAATATTGACTGAAACATGTCAATATTTTTGTTCTATGCCTCTACCAATGAGCATCTGAACACAATTTCATATCAAGATTTAATCTTAGACATTATTCCTGTTAGTAAACCCTAGTTGATTCTAGGTCAGAAGAAGAAAGAAGAAAGAAAAGAGAAAGAAGAAGAAGAGTATTCGACCAGACTATAAGAGAGAATGTAAAATCACCTCTCCTAGCCGACCCACTTGAATTTATTCAAAAAACTTAGAGTTACAAGAAAGACTATTTTGTCCCTCATAGAA